TGTCTGATAAATTTACAGAAATCTGTATGACACCTTCAGGTTAACTCTCAATCCCTCTCTGAGCTATGGCAAACTTTAGCTCTGCATTTCCATCCTGTTATGTTCCATCCTTCAATCTCTATATATTGGTTTTACTGGCATTTTGTAAATAAGCTGATAATTGTGTTTGCTTGAACACCTTAAAATGAAGTTAAGCATTCACAAATAAATAGATAAAGCGTTCACAGATAAAACACTCCAGTATTGTGTGTGCTTCAGCCTGTGGCTTACTTTTAGTACGGTCTCTGGCCTATTGAGTATCCCGCTGAGACTGTGTGATATGATCTGATTTTAAAGAATCGACCCCCAACACAGTTAAGCCAAAATCCTCCCTTATTACACACTGAGGACTGACGCTCACTGATAAGACCTCACTCACTCGCTGCCCTTCCTCACTGACACTGCATCAGTACTCTTGGCCTTTACCCTAACCTCAATATTACATGGCAAATGTCAGTGCTGATCTGGGAGCATCTGCTGGAAAATGTACAAGCTCTTGATCAGATAAGGGTCGTATGGCAGTGGCAAGGCCCAGTGGTCTCTTCTTAAGAGCAAAGACCCCGTGGCAGGAATTAATTATTTACTTCAACAGGTTTTTAGGCGAATGCACCTGCGGCAGTAGATTTTCCTGATGTGTATCTTGTGCAAACACACACAGTGTTACACAACCCATTTTCAGACATCAATTAATTTGATCTAAAATAAATAGTGAACTCAAAAAATTTGAATTATGTCATAATTTACTCATTTACATTTCATTTATTCACCCCTGTGTTCTGTGGAATGCAAATCTTTGCATCTTCACGTTCATTGTTTGCATGTGCAGGCGCAAATACAAAGACATGGAATAAAGCACACTTATACGAGTGTCTATACGAATAGTATAGACTATTTTAATGGTATTTTTTGTTCAGCTCCTTTCGTGTTCTATAAAAGAAAATCAGATCTGAAATGATTTAAGTGATGTGAGAAAATCAAAATGATTTAGACAGAACATAAACATAATGTGACCATGTGTCACAGAGAGGCACATTTCCTTTTCCTGTTAATTCATTTAGTTACACAAACAGTATTTTAGAGTAAAATTACACATAATGTGATGCTAAACCACTTACCTTTTTTTAGACATTGTAGATAGGTACATTATATGAAAGCTTGTTTCCACCACTGAATAAAAAAATTAAAAAGGTAATTGCAACTTTTTTTCAGAATTGCGTGATATAAACAGGCAATTCTGACTTTTTTTCTCAGAATTTAGAGATATAAACAGGATACACAATACTGAGAAATAAAGTCAGAATTGTGAGTTACAAACTCGCAATTGTAAGAAAATAGTATTTTTTCCCCTCTGAACTGGTCTTTATAACTCGCAATTGCAACAGCCCTCTACGAACACAAATTTTTTAGTTTACTCGCCAGACTGATAAATATATATATATACTGTATATATATATATATATATATATAT